TGAGGTCTCACCTGGGCCTTGCCTTGGTCTCCCCCAGGTGGCTCCCAAACTTTAAAACGTCAATTAGACCAGGGGGAGTCTGTATCATCTGGTCCCTTTCACCTTTCTTTCTGGGCTGCACCAGAACCTTGGCAGAACTATGTGGTTTAAGCACAAAATGGTGCTACACCTCAAAGTCTTTCAACACTTTCACTCCGCGCCCCCGTCCACCCCCAGCCCAGTGTCCTGGACCTGCCACTAGTGTCAACTCTGAGTGTAGACACAACTTAAACTGTTCTTTGATGCACATGCAGTTAAACTTACAGACACTCAACAAGACCCTTGACGCCCTCAAGCTGGCGTAAATATTCCGGGGAAGCTGTGGGTGGAGGTGCAGTGTGGGCATGAGAATAGAGAGGCCTCCAGGAGCAGCAAGGATGTTCCCACACATGCTGAGGCTGTCTGGGGGCCCCAGCAGACAGAGGGTGTGTGGACCTTGGGCAGGCCCCAGGGACATGGTTTTGACCCAGTAGGTAAGGGCAGTCATGGTGCCCTCCTGACCTACTCACTCCCCAAAGGCACCGCCTGTTAATGCTATCACCTGGCGGTTTGATATTTCAACATATGAATTTCAGAGGGACAAAAATGTTCAGACTGCAGCACCATCCAAGACAGAGGAAGTGAAAATACCAGGTTCTTAGGACCTGGGCCCAGCAAATGGCACGGTGTATTCTACTGGCGAACAGCCCAAGAGAGTTATTCTTTCATAGTTTTTTTGGGTAAAATCGCTGCAGGCAACAATGCCAGACACATAGACAGCTTGTGAGAGGCGGTTGGGAAGGGTGGACAAAGGGCAGGGACTTGGAGCTCCTGCCTGTCCCAGCTGGATCTGCAGGCCCAGGAGTTGCTGTGTGGCATGGGCAGCACCAGAGCCCTACCTGCAGGACGTTGGCTAGAGGGCTGAGGGAGGGAAGGGAAGGGCAGTCGAGGAATACGGTATGCGTGTTAGCATGGGGCAGGGCAGGGCCTGCATGGGGGTGAGCTCTGAGGACTGTCCATCTCTCAGCTTCTCAGAGTGCACCGCCCTGTCCCTGCAAGACCCCTGCCTCTAAAAAAAAAAAGTTGACTCAGCTTGACATGATTTCTAATGTTTTACTCCAAGACTCCACTAAAATGTCTGAAAAAGGTTCAAAATGTCAAACTGGGAGAACGTGAGGCAAAGATGGTGCAGGGCACAAGGACAGGAGATGAGAGCAGAGGACAGGTGTCCCGCGTACAGCCTGGGCATTGGGCTCCCTGCTGGTTCCCATGCACAGCCCCGGGGAGGACAGCTTTATTGATGCTGATCAGCAGGGAAGGAGGACGGCTACTGAGAAGCTGAAAGAACAGCGGGTGAGGTCGTGTCGGGGAGCTTCAGAGCTGACGTTCAGAGTTGGAGGAATTCCAGGTGCTGGCAGGAGGTATGGGTGGCCCTGGTGGAGGGCTGAGGCCAAGAGGGGGTGGGGTCACTGTCATCAGGAGGACAAAGCACTGAGAGGTTGGGAGGGTGACCTGCCAGGTAACATTAGAGTGAAAGACTGTTTCCCATAATCTTAAGTTTCTTAATGAGTTGAGTGGCTTTGAGCAGCAAAGGGAAAAAATACAGAGGTTTAGAAAAGAGAACAAGGAGTTATCGGATTTCTTACATTCTGGTTCTGCTTAGAAGAGGAGTTCAGGATCTCAAACAGAGAAACAGAAAAAAGAAAAAAACACCAATGTCTTGTACTAAAAGGAAATCATTTTAAGAAATGCCAAGGAAGTATTTACTGAAGACTGTTGAAATAGGCATCAAAACGTTGCAATGGGCGAGCCGTTGGACTCCTCTGTCCCAAAGCCCACGGCAGGAATACAGAGGCCCTGGGTGAGGCTAGTGGAAAGGTTCTGGCAGTTGCTGGTGGGGAAGTTGAGTAGTGTGATTGGGCCACCTGTGTTTGCTAATTCGTTAGGGGATAGACGGATAGACTCCTATCCTGCCACAGAGACAAGGCCGCCATCCCCTTGGGTAATTACGTTTATAGGGATGAGGCATCTGACTTATTCCTTACTGTTCTACCACTTGAGTTATTCAACGGAGAGAATGTCCTGTACATCATCAGTAAACATAGAGTGCTTCCCAGTGAACAGTTCTGGGTCTCACGAGGTCGAGCAAGTTGCTCAGGTTGTTCGGAGACCCTCACACCTCTCCCTGCATTCTCTGGTCCTAAAGTTAGCAGCTGTCATTGCCCACCCTGGACTGCAGTAGCAGAAGCCACACGTGGTGGTCCCAGTGTGCCTTTATCCACACAGAGGAGCAGGGATGCTCCATCCTCCTCTGCCCCTTTCCCTTGAGTTGATAGATGCTTCTCAGCAAACAGGCCCGAATTCTACTCCATCCTTCTCTGTTGCAACAGCAGTTCCTCTTAATTCGGTGGAGGTTGGCCTCCTCCTGCATAGCTCTTGCCCTGATTCTCTGTTCTCCACCTAATGTTCTACCTAATCATTCCTTTAATTTATTGAAAGTTTAAACATCTTTATGTTTCAGTTTAAGATTCACCATGAAATCTATCCTTGGCATTTCCAAGACAGAATAATCTTTTCTGTCTTTCAAAAGTCCTAATGTTTCGTGACGCCACATGTTCCCCATCATAGCTCCTATATTTTAGTCTTTTTAATTAGTTTTAATTAGTTTTTTTGAGGAATGCTGTCACCTGAACTAGACACATGGACTGCGTTACTTCTGTAGGTTTCAGTATTTTTTTTGTAAGCTATTTAGGAAGAACAATGCAATTTTGTATCAATATAAATTTTAAGTAAAATTAATTTAGTTGGAATTAATTTCTTGATCTTGTGCCATGTATTAGATGGTCATCTATGCACTGGGGGATGATGAGGAAGAGAACATGCAGCTTCCCTCCTACTGTTTTGAGAGAAATGTTCCAGAGAGTACGCGGCATGCACAGAATGCAAAGTAGCTTCACATTCTACAGCTAGCAATAAAAAGAAGAGGGGAGAGAGGCTTCCAGGGGGAACTAGTTGCAATTTAAAGTTAAGAAATCAGGAAAGCTCTCAGTGACAAAGGGAAGTTCTAGCAGAGACCCCAGGACCTGGGGTGCAGGGCAGGTGGAGTTCTGGGCGAGGTGCAGAAGCCACGTGACGGAGTCAGCCCGGCCCAGTGGACAGGTAGGAGCAATATGCAGAGTTACAGCAAGGACCACGTGACTTCAAGTCAGTGGCAGTTACAGGAACCGAAGGAAGACTGTCTGCCCTTCACATCCTGAAACCCCAAATATCAACTTCACCTTCTGTACAAGGGGAAGAGCTTGGACCATTTCTTTGTCAATCACAGACCCACTGTGTCCTCCCTGGGACCTCTATTGGGTTCCCCAGCTGTGTGGTGTCTCAGTGGGGTGCCTGGACCCTGAGTTGCCTCTTCAGACTGGCAGAGCCTCAGTCTGGGGCTGAGGCCTCCTCAGAATCTGCATGGGAACACCTGCTTCCTTCTCCTGGGCTCTGGGTATTGTGGTTGGTGTTGGTGGTCACAGCTGTGTCTCGGTCCGTCAGATTGTTTTAATGAAGAACGGGGAAAATCCTACTAGAATCACTGTTGCTTTCTTTGCAAACTGTGGTTTCTCTGTCACTCTTGAAAGTCTTGGGGCATTCTGTGAATGACCCTCCAGATAAGACGAGCTATGGCTTGAACAGACAAGTTATTTTTTCCAGCATGTGTAGTGGATGCACAAACTGGAACTGCTGGATCCAAAATATAAGAAATCTGTGGCTCAAGCTGGACTTGTCCCTGGGGCTGTGTGGCTATGTCCTCACAGGCCATTGGCAAGCCAGCTCAATTATTGTTAAAGGTACAGTGGGTTTCCAGGGGATGGACAGAGAGGAAGCATCACATCTCACCCCAGCACGATGTCAGCCTGGCCCTCAGGGACACCGGGGTTAGGCAGTGACCCTGTCCTCTTGGAGGGGAGGAGGAAGACAGGCTCAGGAAGGTGCAGACCCCACCTGTGCTGTGCCTGGTGGGGAGGCTGCAGGTGGAGGCAGGACAGCAGGGGGCGCTGTGGCCTTCCGGGCAAATGCTCTGAGCATCTCAGAGGGTGCTCCTGGTTCATTCCCTTTCCCCAGACCTGGTTTCCTGCTCACCTGCTGATGTGCCAGATATTTGGGGTATCAGAGCCTCAGCGCTCTGCAGCAGCGACAGGAACTGAAGGTTTCTGGTGAAATGTTTTTTCTCTCTTCATTTTTCCCATTGCCCCTTTGAAGCTGTATTCTCTAAGCAGCATCAGGTTCTCAGTGGCTTTAAGTCAAGCCAGGAGAGTGCACGCTGCAAAGTGCAGAGGAGCATTTGTGCATGTGCGTTTTCTGGAAGTGAAGACGACTTTATGGGTGTGGAATCCAGGTCTTAATGGACGTGGCTGGAAGGTGTGTTTAATGAGGACCCTCAGTGTGGGCTGCTGTGTTTTCTGTTCCACGCATCTCGCCTTTGCTAACAACCAACTCCCTTCTTAATTAAAGTTGTTTCAATGGATCTCATGTAACCCTATGCCTTAAAAGGCAAATGGGTGACCTGGGCACGTTCAGTACAACTCCAATATTTTGACATAGAGCATGGTGGTTTTTCCCAAGAAGTAGTAATGTTTGTAAGTAGCTAACCTGATTCTTTTGCCTAGCGTATGAGAGTTGCCTTTGAGAGTAAATCTGTTCAAAATGAGGCAGAGTGAAAAGACAGAGCAGTGGATGGTGAGATCGGTGGCATCATTTGTGCCTTCATTTTGATTTGTGTCTGAAGCCATGGCTCCTCCTTAAAAAGTCTAAAATTTGAAACTTCAATTTGTTCAAAAATCTTGATGTGGGATTCTGGCAGGTGCTTTCCAGTGTCTTGACACGGACACGTATCAAACTTTAAAGAGATGTAAACAAAGACATCGTGTTACAAGGCATTTATTTAGGATCAAGAAAGATGTTAAGGAGAAAGCAGTATAGGAGAAAAAACATTTCCTGTAGCTCTCAAAACAATTGACGGGCTTATTCTGCAATCTCAGCTGCAGAAGAATGTGAAGCCCTCACCACTGATGATGCATGGCATTCTCTTGGACAGCAGAATATTAATCTTCAAGCGAGCAGCAGTATGTGAAGCCCACACCACCAATGATGCAGCTCCCAGCACGACGTTCTCCTTGCTGGCAGTACACTAATCTGCAAGTGCAGGCCAAGGCCCTCGTTGAGCCTGTGGACAGAGAGAGCACCCGAAACTGAGCACCACGGTCGGCAGTGGGTGGTAACAGGAATCTTGGAAAGTCACATGCTGGCTGATCGGGGATGTTGGCTGCATTACAGCCGGTCGCACGAACAACCTCAGCCAATAGGAATAAATACACAGAGCTGTGCTGGTCACATAGGATTTGAGACTCGTCCTCCTTTGCTCTCATTTCTATGCTTCTGCCCCAGCACACACGCCTGAACACACTGAAGCTCATCTCCAGTTTTTAAAAGTTTCTCTACAGGCGGAATAACATAGCCTCCCTATAATATCTACTTGTTTAGATCCAGAAAGAACGAGTCAGTCTGTCTCTCCATATCTTAACCCTGGCGAATTTTATAGACATACCTTGGAATCAAGTATTTGGACAAAGAAAACTACTTAGATTTGTTTGGCTCTCTATTCAGTTCGGAGATAAGAAAATCAAGGCCCAGAGATGCTAAGTAAAGCCACCTAAGTGACACCCACCATTGAGACTCGATTCCAGAGCGTGTCTCCCATCCATCCCTCAAGACTGTGGCTCTTCATGCTGGTGTCTCTCACCTGAAACCTGCAGAGCGGAGCTTTTGTCCCATGCAAAGGAAATAGATATGTCCTGGTCGTTGACCCCACGCTGCTCCTGGCCTGCAGCCTCATCACATCTTGCCTGGAGTGGCCCTGCCTGGGCCTGGAGGGCCAGCAGGAGAACGGCAGTGAGGAGAGTGAGGGTCCTCATGGCTGGGCAACCTGGAGGAGGGAGAGCAGGAGCAGATGTGTGGGGAGGGAGAAGCCAGCCGGGGTTTACAGCTCTGCAGGGAGAAGGCTCAGAGACAAGAAACCTTGGCATCCTGAGTGAGAGGAGGTGTACATTTCGGTAGAGAGGGTGCGGGCTCCTATTGGCCTTGACATCCCTCCAATGCTCCTCTGCTCTCCCAGCTTTCTTCACATGAAGCTCTATGTTCAGTGTCGGCGCCAGGTTGAAGCTGATGGTGATGATGGGGACCCTGGCATATTTTTCCTGTTTCTCAGAAATATCTAGTATTTCCTGGTTAAATATTTAATATTCAATAAAGAATGGAAACAGTGCTTTCATTTAATAATTTAAGAGAGCAAATGACTCTTATTTCCTGGTGACAGGCCCTACTATTCTCTTGAGGTCTAAACACCGGCGCCAGACCTGAATTTCAGTGGGGCAGAGAGTCACTCATTTCAGACTTCAAGGTCATTATACCGTCATGAAGGGGTGACTGAGGTTATGGAGTGAGCAGTCTCCTGTAGGGGCCAGGGTGAAGAGAACAATGACCTTATCAGGCAACAGGTGAAGTGAGCTCAGTGAGACGGATAAAGAGCTGTGTAAGGTTCATGACTTGCTATGTGCATCCAAGTGGTTCTTTCCCTCAGAACATGTAGAAAAATCTGCTCAACATGGATTGAAGACTAAACATAGACCTGCAACCATAAAACTACTAGAAGAGCATAGGAAGATAAAGCTTTGACACTGACGTGGGAATGATTTCTGGCTGTGACACCACAGGCAATAAATAAAAGTGAAAATAGACAAGTGAGGCTGCATTGAACGCTAACGCATCTGCATAGCAAAGGAAACAAGAGAGTGAAAGGCAACCCAGAAGATGTGAGAAAATATTGGCAAACCCTACGCGGTAGAAGGGGTAAACATCTGAATACATAAGGAAGTCGACTCAATAGCAAAAAGTAAACAACATGATTGAAAAACAGGCCAAGGACCTGCAAAGTCTTCTCTCAAAAGAATGCTCTAAAGAGCTGTGACCGTCCCTGCTGGACATGTCAAGTAGGTCACGTGTGTTTGGAAGGAAACTTTTTGAGTTTCTCTATTACCTTAGCTGGTAGCCACGGCCCCCAGCAACCACCAGAGGCCCAGACAGAAGTTCACAACAGGGAATTCACCTGCTGGGTCCCTCTGGGGTGGCCCCACAGTCAGAGGTCAGACTGGGGGCACAGCTTCCATGTTGAAACCTGAATGTGAAAGTTTAAACTTTGTGTTACTTACGGATCCTCAAGCTAGGCAGGGCAACCGCAGAGGGCAGACAGCAGTCCTCTGTCCCGGGTCTCATGTAGCAAGAGCAGCACTGCACACGGAGGAGAGGACTTCCCTATTTAAGGGTCTTTTGGGATGAGGTGTCTTAACTTTTCAGGGTTACTTTCTATTGGGCACTTTCAATAACTGTTAACAAGGGCAGTTGAGAAATTTGGCAGAAAGCTTGAATCCAAACAGGAGTCCTCAGAGGGACCAACCCCACATCTGCTTTGGTCAGCCCTGGCCAGGTGCAGGCAGCAACCAACTATGGATTCTCCATGACTCCTAAGAGAGTTGCCCCCGTGATGCCCATGCTGGTGGCTGGGGATGAGCTACCTGGACCAAGGGAATATTTAAAGCCACCAGGAGAGCCTGGCCTGCATATTGTTATATACACCTTGCGAGGGGACTACAGTGAGAACACCATCCACTCACAGGGGAGAGGAGACTAGGGTGCGAACACCCACTCACAGAGGTGGAGTTAGAACCTGGTCTGAAGTGACATCCCCAGGCCATGTGGTCTAACCATAAAAACAAATCCAAGCCGTTCAGGCAAGAAATACTGGAGGCTGCCTGGGTGAGACAGAATACCGCCTGGGGTTGCGTTGCTAGGTGGGGCAGGTTGGAGGCTCCTGAGTAAAGGTCGTGTATAGAATATGGGGTCCCCTAGAGGGACCTATCACCTTTTCGCTTGGCCTGAGATGGTTCAAGGCCACCTGGGCCAAGGACTCATCAAATTATTGCATGAGACCTAATGTCTCTCAGAAGTCCCTCAGGAAGGTGGCCAGTGTGGCAGGGAGACTGGTGTTAGCCTGTGTCAGTGTGTGCTATGTGCTCAAATACCTCATTCCCAAACAAATTCCGCAGGCCATGAATCTCCCTACACACAGAGTTAGGAGGATGGCCACTGGGTGCTTGGAATGAGTGAGCTTTCCCTTGTGTGGTTCCTCCTGGGTTATTTGAAGGGGAGTTTTTGGGAGTCTAGTGCACATTTTAAAAGGCACCACCCTCCACCCTCCTCCTCCCGCCTCCTTCTCCACCCTCTTCCTCCTCCTCCTCCACCCTCCTCCTCCTCC